AAGTGAAGGGGTTGTACTTAGTTTAAGTCTGGGGGGGGGGGGGGGGGGGAGGGAAGCTTTGGCTTGAGGATTTGTTTCTGAACAGCCTGGTTCTTTTCTGACATGCATAGTTGGAAAGTCTCTATATGGGAGCATTGATGTAAATGACAGTTTTTCCCCATGGATCTCTTTGGTGAAGATAATTTGGCTCTGGATAGCATGTGATTGTGGAGCTTCTCAGACTGAGCCAAGGACCAGGCTATCCAGTACCACTGATGGGAACCACCATGAGAATGAGGTGGTTCCTCCTGTTTGCTGCATCTAACATGATTCCTCAACCTAAAATCCCAGTATGAGGGATATGAGTCACAGAACTCTGATTTATATATTTGCTTGACTTCCCATTGTTAGTATGTAAGGCTGGCAGGGAGCATAATGCTCCCTCAAAGGCTCAGATAGCCTTTGAGGGAGCAAGTTCAAGAAACAGAGATTTCTTATCAACACTGCAGAAAATCCCAATATTGAAATGCTTAGCACTGAAGCAGAAGCTTTTGCAGAGAAAATTAACTCAACCTGAAAGGTAAAGTTACATCTCTGCTGCTATAAACTTTATAATGGATACTGATACCAAGTACAACAAAGTAGAAACTTTTGTCACTGGAGTAGGTGATTTTATCATTGCTTTTACTGAGAGGACAGCAATTCAAAATGCTGGAATAGATTGCAATGGGAATTGGAAGGAAGATGCCAGGGAAAATATTCAGGGACTGACTGTAGTGAAGGAAGCTGGTGACTGAAACACCAGCACTATCAGGCTGTCAATAGGCTAAGACCTGAGCCTTTTTTTTACTCAAAATAGGAGAAGACAATGGACCCCTGCCTGTCATATTCAAGGACATCTGAAACTTGCTTCTACATTCCTGTAAGGACCTTCAGCACAACCTTCCTCCCTCATCAATACAGATATAAAGCCCTGCACAAGTACACAGTAGAAGCTACTTAAATTGGCATTCTGATAAACAGCAAGTTTCTCATGTGATAAAGAATGCACTCTGTGCAGCACACTGTGATGACTCAAGCAACAAGCACATCACAGCTTGTCGAGTGGCTGTCCTGCCACAGTTGTTTGCAAGCCCCTACCATTCACATGTCAATTAAAAATGGCTAAAAGGCCTTTTTGCTGTTAGACTCTATTATTTTACATGAATCTGCCATTTTTTTCAGAACTAGTGAGTTTCTTTCATTAATATTACTTGTAATGTGTAGGCACAGTGCTTACTTTGAGCAATTTGTGACATGAAAGACAGTCTCCGTCATCACAATCTACTGCTGTTAGCATCTGAAAATGACAACCTTCATACTTCTGTTTCTATAGTGACTTGCCACCTAGACAGATTTCACTGCATTTCCACGTTGTCTCCACTGTTCTTTTCTGTTTCCTCATAAGAACTCCAGCTACTCTTGTTTCTTTAAGGCAAACCCCCCGCATTCTCTGTGGTTTCCTGAGTACTAAACAGCACAAGTTTAAATTATATTAGCCTTGCCTAACCAGTGCTGCTGTGTGGACAAAGTACAACACACCCCATGAAGTTTGCTGGGGGATGAGCAGAGCAGCTGAGGCTTCATGCGTCATTCTGCATCAAGGTGTACTTCCTTCTTGCCCCTCAAAACTCCTCCACTGTGCCCTGTGTGCAGACTGGCCATATGCAAGTCTTTGCAGAGATCTCCTTCTGTATGTGTGTTCTGGGAACTGTGCTCACCCACTTGCTTCTTCACACCCTAACTTCCAAGCAATTAACATACTCACTCACCTTTACATATTCAGGAAATGATAGAGTCACAGTATGTTCAGAGGAAAGGGCAATAAGCTGATTAAGTATTTTTATACACCTCTTTAAAGTAGCTATAAAGTGCACAAAAGGAGATCCTTACCTTTATTTACCAAAAGTCCCCAAACAAACCTAACACATACCCCTCCGTCCTTAATTTGTTCTCTTAATGAAATGTTAAGTGAAAATCATTCTTGGGTATGATCTGCTGGAGGTTCTCAGGATGCTGGCTGGGTGGGTCTTTTGGCCTACAGACCCAGCTGACTGTTCTCATTCAGGAATGAACTTACTAGGAAAGACCGGGAACTCTAATGCATTAAATGTGAATTACTGCAGTTAATCAGGCTTATCACAGAATTTCCTTGGTTGGAAAAGACCTTCAAGATCATCGGGACCAATCACTAACCTAACTGACCAGTCCTTAACTAAACTATATCCCTAAGTACTATGTCTATACGACTCTTAAATACCTCCAGGGATGGTGACTCCACCACTGACCTGGGCAGCCTGTTCCAATGCCTAATAACTCTTTCAGTGAAGAAATTCTTCCTAAAACCCAATCTAAACATCCCCTGGTAATCAGCTGGAGGCCATTATCTCTTGTCCTATCATTCATAACTTCATTGAACAGACCGATCCCCACCTCTTTATAACCTCCTTTAAGGTTGTAGAGAGCACATGGCTTGCTTACAACCTATTCTGAAAAGTGATGTTTCCAAAGGATCATATAACAGCACTTCCAAATTTTTCAGCATTTAACCACCTTATCTTATCAGAACCAACAAACTGAAAACCATGAAACAGCACTGGAAAAAACAGAATGTGAAAGAAGTGATTTAACTGCACCTCAGCCCCAAAGGCAATGACCATGAAGTTCAGATAGTTAGGGTTTATCCTGTAACCACGAAAACACAAGGTGAAGGCTGTAAAATTTGTGGGCATTTTGACTACAGAACCTCACCTTGCAACTCACTGGCATAACATGAGTGTTTTTTTCTTTTTAGAAGTACTTCCCATGGAAAGGGCATGAAAAGTAACCCAAGTGGCAGGCTGTGAGACCTGCTGACTGGTTGCACAACAGAGGCTAAGCCATGAAGTGAAACCCAAGGAGCTGCTGCATCTTGATATACCATAAAGCTGAACAACTTGTATCTGGAGTAAATCTAATTGGTATTTCCCTTGAATTCACAGTGCATTTGACACCTTAATTTCTCTTAAACAGTGACTGGCATCAAGGCTGTTGTGGCTAAATTCATTTTCTTTAGGGATTCTCTTAAATAACTACTAGAATTAACTGTTTCAGCTTATTTTTATACCAATAACATCCACTATATTGTTGGCACTGTCCACTCACACAAGAGAAAACTTCCCTTTTTGAAGAGTTTACAATCTGAGATGAGTCAGATGTTGCACCACTGCAAAGAAAATCTGAGTTGAGAAACAACAGAGAGCATTATGGTTATAAGATCAGAACCTAAATGAGGGTGCACTGAAGCTCAGAAGGCCAGAATTTACTGATCCAAGATAAAACTTCAAGATTCATTAAACAATAGATTCTAGAAAGGAACCACAGATCTTTGTTTTATTAAGATACTGACATCTTCATTAATAAAGCTGGGGTTTCCATGATGCTGAAAGCAATTAGACCATGAGTTTCAAAGGGAGCTGCACATGTAAATTCCTCTGTCTCATTAGAAAATCTCAGCCAACAGCAATCATGTTTGGTTTAAATCATTACATCATCATGGGAAACAAATCCATTAGACTTTCATTCCAGGCAAGAACGAAGTGTGGCTGAAGGAGCAAACATGGTGGGAGCATGGTATCTATGGTGATGTATGCATGATGGTGTATGGGCATGTGCTGAGCTAATAAAGAAAGCAAAGTTCAGAACGACACCAAGAGCAGAGAAGGCAAACTAGATCCTGGAAGGATGACAGTGATTGTGCAGATTGTGAGAAAACAATCTTAAGTGACAGTCAACCTTCACCCTCTGTGAAGCAAAGCAATAATCCAGTCTGTACAGAATAATTTACCAGCCACTTCCTTTTCTTGAGGATATTTTTTTGGGTGGGGAAACCACACGTTTTTCTTTCCTGTGTTCTGCAGTTTTTCAAATCCATCCCCTTTGTCTGAATATTGGTAACACAGAAATATGCTACTTACTCCCTCATGCGTTTCAGTTTGGTCTCAGCCATAGTGCAGTTGAGAGCTCTGAATCCCTGGGGCTCTCCTGGAGACACGCTGGTGACAGTCCCCGAGCCTACAAATCAATGCACAGACACATAACCTTATTCACCTTCATCCCCTGAGCTCTATTGCAGAGTCAAGGACGGTCAGAAGGAGGAAGACTATTCCTGTTTCTCACAAGACAGTGCCACATTAATTAAAAATGAATTAGATTATTAAATCCACATTAAGAGCAACTCCTTTCTGAGGGACAAGTAGATTTTTAGCTTAAAGGCACCAGGACTGTAACAACAGCTTTGCTCCTGTGTAGTGTACAGACAGTTATATTACCACAGAAAGAACAGTCACTTTGAGGAAGTGCTGGGACAGACGAATATGGAACACAATGAAGTTTGCTTAGACAATATAAATTTTCCTTCTTTATTCTTGAATTGCTTTATAAGAGCAAGAACCATCTTCCTAACAGGCAAGTATCTGCTTTGGTTTGATTATGACTGTAAAATGAAAGTATTTAACTTATGCTATCAACTTCCCCTTCACGAGGGCACTCTTTGTATGCACGCATATATATAAATATATATATATATAAATCATACTTGTATATTTAAATATATATACAAACCTATCTGTGAGTGTAAATATAAATATATATGTGTGTGTGTGTGAGAGAAGTACCTAAGGACCTAGAGCTCACAGACTGCTGCAGTATTCATCCACAGGAATACAGAAGTGCTGAACCACAGAGGACTGTCAGGGTTGCCAATTCAAATACCCTGCAATTTCATGTTGCCATTCCATCACACAAGTCCCTGCTTAGCCTAAGGAATGTATTTATTTATTTATCGCCCCTACTGCTCCCTTCAGATGATTCCAGAACCATTCTGTGACCTGGTGGCTAAAATCTTTCCTCTGTTCTCCTTACAAAACTTCTTTACTGACCAGTTCCTGCTCACTCTTCTCCTGTGCCAGCACTTTTTTCAGCTTGATGTGTTCTTCCCTTCCTTGTGTGCTCCTTTCCTGTCTTTGCAATTGGAAAAAGAGATCCTACTTCAGCTCTCAATTTGCTAAGCGAAACAAAGCAGCTATTTTAGTTTCTTCTTGCAAAATTTTTGGCATTAGGATTTCACCTCCCAAAAGAGGAGAATATTGTGGAATATCATGGAAATATATCCTTCCTAAATGCATGGGCTGTGGCACACAGCATGCAAGTTCTGAAGGAAGGTGGGAGGGCTCTGCATAGGATATGAACAAGCCAAAAGTCACACAAATACATTACCACATCTTCCTAGCAGGGATTTTTAGTTTGGACTCTGCTGGGATTTAGTTTGGATTGCATTAACATTGGATCTCATGCAGTCAGAGGGAGCTTGCAGCTCCCTTCCTGCTATGAGCAGTACAGACACCCCAGAGAGTCCTGAATGATTCCCTGGAATGGGTAACCATGGCTTTCCCAGGAGTTAAGCTCCTATGTCTTACATGATTCTAGATCATCAAAATTGAGATTAAAACTTTCTATTGTGAGGGATCCTACTGAATTGCTCATGGTGTTTGCTGGACTCAGAGCTCTGCTGGATTCAGGAGACAGGAAGCAGGCATGGAGAGAGACCTCAGAAGAAACGGATTCCTGACTCTGCTGTCTGGCTATGGACAAATTATTTGACTTTTAAAAATATCTTCCTAACTTCTTTTTACATCTAATGGCTAACAGTTTTCTGGTGCCTAAGTATTACAACTGAGGTATAGTTATCATAGTTTCAAAAAGTGAAAAATTACAAGCTCAGTTCTTACTAGCAATTAATAAATTCACCCATTGATGCAAAAAACATTTCCTGATCAGTTACTGTAACAGTACCCATGGATATCCATACATTTTTGCACAAGGTCTGTAAGCATTCCATTACTTCAGCAGCGTTGGAAAATGCAGAGTGGCCCTGAGGAAACCCCAAGGCTGCACAAAGAAATGCTTGTGGCTGACTGGGTGGCATGCTCCTCTGAGCTGGCATAGAATCAATGCCCAGAGGTGGGGTTTGGGATCTGTACTGGTTTGGTTCTGGCCTGGTTTCAGTAGCAGGGCAGGGGCCCCAGGGGTGGCTCCTGTAAGAAGGTACTAAAAGCTCCTCCAGCTCAGGTGGCCAAGGCTGAGCCATTAGAGAGACAATAGATGCACCCCTGCAATTAATATATGGAAGAACTCATATAAGACCTGAAAGCAGAGAGAGCAAAGAGGAAGAGCTGAGCAGGAGAGGTGAAAGCAGTGCCAGAACAGAGATCATGAGGTTGGTGAACAAGAAGGGGAAGGAGGTGCCTGAGTAGAAGTTCCCCTGCAGCCCATGGCGAGATGGCAGGCTGTCCACCTCATGGAGGAGAAAGATGGCAGAGCATCCCCTGAGTGTGCCAGGAGGAGTGAATGTGGACCTGCAGTCTGTGGACTTGGATCTGCAGCCATGGAGGACCCTGTGCCAGGGGAAGTGACTGTTCCCAAAGCAGCCTATGACTCTGTGGGAAGCCCATGCTGGAGCAGCTTGCTCCTGAGGGACTGCACCTGATGGGAAGGATCCATTTTTGAGAGGTTTGTGGAGGACTCTCTTCCATGGGAAGGACCCCATGGGGAAACAGGGGAGGACTGTAAGGAATCCTTCTTCTGGAGGAGGAAAAGGCAGGAATCACCAGCCTGTGAACTGACTCTAAACCCCAACCCCTCTCCCCCTGTGCCGCTGGGGGGAAGGAGGGAGAGAAATTAGGAACATAGCAATTGGGGCCCAGGAAGAAGGGAGGGGTGGGGGTAACATAGGTAAGCACTGCTCTTGGTGTTGTCTCTCTCCTAATTAGTATGAAATTTACTTATTATTTTTTCTCCAAGCTGTGTGTTTTGCCCATGACCTTAATCGGTAAAGAACCTTCCTTGCTCTCTGTCTTCATCACAAGCTTCTAGTAGTTCTAGTAGCCTTTGTCCTCCCCATCCCACAGTGAGTGGCCACTGGGCTGGTTCTTTGCTGTTCCTGGTTCTTTGCTGTCCAGTGAGGCCCAAAACACGACAGGGTCTTTGAAAGCAACAGAAAATTGATGCCCTGAGCACCAATGGCCTAAGGAAAATGCAATCTTCGCATTCCCGTAAGAAAAAATACAATTAACCACAGGCCCCAGCTAAATTCTGGTACTACTATTATTACAGGATATATCACCATGTTAAGAGCTCAGCATACTCTTCCTGCTTAGTGGGTTCCATCTGTTTATTGCTACAGTATCTCCTTGTCCTCCAACATTTAATTATTAAAGACATCCTTCTTGTTTTTTTCTGGGATTCCAGGCTAAATAATTTGTACTTTGTCTACTCTCCACATTGGCAACGGGCCAAGTACAACTTATTCTCTACATGCAAACTACTACTATCTGTCTTCCTCTACATTTAATATGATTTTCTGGGTACTGTGAGGGAGCTGCAAGGAACACAGATTGTCAGATACTGCGAATTTGCAGTTAGTCATTAAAAAATGAGTTATTAGTGAAAACTCATAAGAGCTTTTCACATTGTTGCTACAACAAGCCTCAAAAATATTCCCTGGGGCAATTCATAACCCACACCAACTTCCGTATCAGAGGTATTTTCTTAGAAGCAGTAGCTTGATTAATAATATATTAATCAAGCACTGAGCAGTTTGCCTACCTGCACATCAACACAGAACAAGGAACTATGCTTCTTGAAAAAGTGGCCAGATAATTATTTGGAATTTTTATGGAATATATAATTCTTGATTCATTAAACAAAATCAAATGAAACAAGAGCACCAACTTGTCAAAAGCAAGTATTGTGGCATTCTAAATGTACACAAAAGGGCAAAAAATCCTCTTAGGTCATGGAGCATGAGTCTGAGGTTCTCCCTGCATCCTTCTTACTCTTCCAAAGGGAAATTGAAAAGTTCTGTAGGGAAAATTTATTTCCAGGCACTTACATTTAAAACTGGCAATTATTATCTGGTGAGACTTTTCATACATTATGGCTCAAAGGCATTCCTACCAACATTTCTTCTAAAAACTAAATAATTTGTGACAGACATCTACTGCCTCTCTTGGTGAGCCAATATGTGTTGTGAAGCTATTAACTCCTCTAAATCATAGACTTCTGTTTGGATTTTTTATTTCTTTCTTCAGCTTTTACTGCTACATATGAGATCCTACAATGCCTTTTCCTACAAGATTAAAAAGTTCCTTAGAATCTGAGAATCTCTAACCTTTTCCTCTTTTAAGTCACATAGATTCAGGAAACTGTAAAACCAGGTTTTCAAGCTTCTTTTCATTTTGCAGTTCTCTTCTGGGATCTTCCCAATTTTTCAAACTTTATCAGCACGGACTGTCTTATTTCAAATGTGCTACACATGGAACTGTATAGCCAACCCAAGAGGAACCCTGGTCCACACTAAGGCACTGGTATTCACAGTGACTCAGTGGGAACTCCTGAGGAGAAAACTCAATTACTTCAAAAGTCCTTTTACCCTTCAACACTGAGGTCTATACTATACAGTCATGGGATGACAAGAGGTGGGGCACTGCATGGCTATAACCAATGTTCTAGTGATCGTATTAAGAAATGTAGAGCTGAAAGTGCACCAAACTATCTTTAGAATGAACAAAATAAACAAGTATCTAACCTATGTAAAATGCACCAGAAAATTTTTATGTAACTTGAATTTTCAACACAGTGAAGAAAAAAAAAAGATATAAACGAATGTTAGCAAACAAATACCAATTGCCCCAACATCAGCTTTGTAGCTTGACATTGGAAGAGCTTAAAAAAGCAAATGTTTCAACTTCCTCAGTGACACTGAGCATAGAAAAATAGAAGGGACCCTAGCAGATCTCTCTGTTATTATCATCACATATATTTGTCTGGAACAGATCATACAAAACTAATTACTAACTCAGCTTGAAGAAAGGCTTGAAGTTTCAGCACAAACTGGTCAGATATGTTTTTAATTATTAAAGCAAAATTTAATTCTTTAATATTATAATTGTAAAAAGCAATGTCTTGCTTTTAATACTGAAAGAAAACAGAGGAAGACAAGAGTCTCTTTCATACTAAGATTCTTTTGAAATACCACTGTTTGTCCTTGGCTAATACTCTGGGTTATTCTCAGAAGCCCTCAAGGCAATACATCTCTTTCATTAAAACAACAAAATATTGAAGCATAGTACTTCAATTTTTGCCTGTATTTTCACTTCTGGTAACCCCCTGCAAACAATGATGCTGCAAATGCATACATGAGCGCAGAATTTGAAGACCATGGGATCTCCACTAGTGGAAAACAAACTGGACATGAATGTGCCTTTCTTCAGTCCTAAGGAGCTCCCTGATGCGGGACCCAGAAGGTGACCAGACATGATTCAGCGGCCACAAGACTAAGACAGTCACAGCTTTGATTACTCCCTTTCATCCTTTTTCTTGTCTGGCTTTCTATTCCCATCAGTCTATGCTCAGGGGTAGGGGTGAGAGAGAGCTCAGCACTGGAGGAACCTCTACAGGGAAGATTTCCCAGGCTTCCCCTACAGTCTCATGTTAGAGCCACAAGATAATACTCAGTCAGGTTTGCCCCAAATGAATGAGTGTAAATGAGGCAGCTAAACAAGAATGCAGGTCTCATGGAAGCCTTTGGGAATTCATCTGGGCTTTCATACAACTCACATGAAGGCTGCTGGCATAATCCAATCCAGTGGTCTTCAAGGACAGTAACTATGTCAACCTCATTAAAGAGCCTTCTTTCTTATAAGGTGTGTGGGGGGGTTTAGCTTTTAAATAGAACGTGAGAAACTAGCCTTCAAACTCTACATTTATAGACAGAATTTGCAGGAGATTTTAGGATTAAATTGCAAACTTAAATACTCTGTGATTTTTCTGTGCCTGTAATGAGATACTGTAAAATAAAATAAACATTATCTAAACCTGGACCATCATTAATTATCTTTTTTGAGCTTTAAATTAATTTTCTCTTATAGTTATCAGTATTGGAAACTATAAAACAACCTACATATCCTTAAATATTTTCCTCTGGAGAAAACAAAGCAGAAGCCAGGTTTTTAAAAGGCTTTGTTGTAACATTCCACACTTCTGACCATCATGCTTCATGGCTCTATTATTTTCAACAAAACCACTTAACGCTGTGTGCCTTTTCTTTTGGCATATTTGTACTTCTCTGCAGTAGATCAAGGAAGCCACTTTCAAGAAAATCACATTTTCTGAGTTCTTTTGTTGCAAAAGGGAAAAAAAAATTGGACTGTGATGAATACAGACTGCTAATAGCTTCTGCTATTACATTTAAAGAAGAGATGTCATCTTACCCAATGAGCTGTTATTCAGCACACTCTCCAAATGCTTGACCATTGCCTCAATATCACTGTCCTGTGGATAAATGGGATAAGCAATAGCATTAGTGTGAGCACAAATTTAAACATAAACATTATGTACCAGAGGTGTGATCCCACACCAATGAGCATTAACACTAAACTACAAAGAGTCAACATTGCTCTGAACTTTTTCTGTTTTCTTCTCCTAAAACACCAAGCTTGGGCATAATGCTATGTACAAACAATGATTTACATCAGATTCCTTGCAGAACACAAGTGCGAAAAATAACTGTGCATGGGTTCTAAAAGTATGTTTACTGTGGAGGGGGGTGTGCTATCTCTGAAAACAAACCAGCTTTTTAACGTCAGTTAATCTTGGAATATCTAAAATAATATTACATTGAAAAAGGTAAGTATGTACTGCTCTAACTATGTCAAAATTTCTTATTCTTATGATAGCTTCCCACTGAAAATTAATACTTACGTTTCATTTCATTGCATCTACTTGCATGTCTAGAAAGAATGACTAATTGAAAAAAATTGAGAAGAAATTTTAGCATTTTCCTATTTCAAGTATTCTGTTACCAGCCAGATGATCAACAGTTTTAGTGTGATATCTTTCACATGAAATGATATTTGTGTACACAGATCAAATTTAAAGACCTGGCCATTAAGCAGTGACTGTGTTCCAGGAAGTAGATAACAATTTGAAGTCCATGAGAGACTTGGACTCTGAGTTTCTTAAGCTGCTGCCATATCAGATTTGACAACATGGCATTTCTTGGTTATGTCAGACTGAAAGTCAGAATTTTGACCTTGCTGAAAAATCTGCCAAAAAACTCTATTTTCAAAAACATTGAGCAGCCTATGGTTGAAAATTTAAAGCAATGGAATAAAACCAAACCATGCCAACTTGAGCTTCTACAATGGATAATCTGCTTTATACTTTTCTGTCATCTTCCTCAACATGGTCACTCTAATTTTCTCAAACTGAAGAACTGCCAGTATGCCTTAACAGGATAACAATAATTTTTGGCAATAACTGCTGGTTAATGACCCTTTGGTGCAAGTGAGAACTGTTATGGCTGAACATGATCTAACTTCTTATCACCCCAAGTGATTGGGATGATATATTTGAAACAGGCTCTGCTATTTTGTCTGAGGTTTGCAAGATGGGAACCAGCTTCTTAGTTGGTCATTTCAACAAAGAACCCAAAAGCTAGCTGGTTTGAAGGAGCCTCTTTGCTCTTTGGAGCAGCCAGTAGAATTCTGGCTGGATGAAGTCAGCATCAGGGTTTCCAATTTTGCAGCCCATCCAAAGTACCCGAGTTACCTCAGATAACCAAATAGTAAATTGAATTAAGGCAGACTTAATCTTATGGATAAAATTTTTCTGGTTTTGTAAATATATAAATAAAATTAAATTAACCTTAAAGACTTGATAAAAAAGTTATTTAACGTTTTTATATTAATTTTCTCCTAATATAAATTTTTAATTATTTGTATTTCATTATTACTAATAGTTAAACACAAACGTATAGACAAAAACATGGTAAACATCCACATACAATATTAAAACTGTTGTTTTAATAAAACCTTTTTTTCATTTTTAATGGGATAAGGATTGTAATACCTAAAGAATTCTGACTTCTCACAACAGAACATCGTATTTACTCCAAATATCACAACAGAGCTAATGTTTTCTCATTCTGCTGTAAGGCAAAAGATATGCTTTTACCACGTTCATTGCCACTGGTTTTCGAGGACACTACCTGGCTTAACTTGGCTATCTTGAAACAAGATTTCAATGAGGAAGAGGATGTGGTTTTCACATAGTAGTGAATAGTTGAATAAATGGTTAATCAGCTTACACTGAAGTAGAGACTACCTATGCCATCCCTCCACTTGTATTTAGCAATCCAAGAGGATTTGTGCTGTTTTATTTAATATGTTTCTCTGTTTAATTTATCTCTTTAATGTTTCTCCATTTCTGCAGAGAAAGCAAAGCCCTACAGAACTGGAAAGGGATTCTGGCAGACATGCAGCAGAGGGGCACTCTTAGGTGTGACAGCCAGAGCAATTACTGCCTGCACATTTCAAATTCAGAGCAAACCAACCCCTTTCTAACCACAACAGGCTGTGCCAGGGCACAGCTTAGGAATCCAGAGGGACATTCTTTGGGTAACAGCACATAAACCACCCACAGCCACTGGATCTATGATACTTTATGCCAGTTGATTATGTGGTTTGACAGTCTCAGAAGCAACCTGGAAATTGAAAATAGGAAGCTAAAGTACCACATTAGCAGACCTTCTTACAATGAAGAGGGCAAATTGCCTATTAGTGTCACTAAAAGAAAACACAAGGAACAAGTTGATAAACTGCAGTAAAAAGCATCCATTAGCTTCTTAGCTAAATCAAAGCTAATGAAAGTTTTCACTGTGCACTAACTTTTCAAGACAAAACCTCATATGTTTAAATTTTTTTTAGAGACATTTTCTCATTCTGTTTCATGTTTCCCCCCTAATTAGAAACCAGTGTTCCTAGGAAAAAAGAAAAACATGTGGAAGAAGTAAAGGTCTGGAAAAGTAATTGGCAAGCTGCTGCTTGAAATCTGGCAATCTGCATTTCAGGTCCAAAAGAGAGGGACAAAGGACACTGAACTCCAATAACACAACCAAGATGAAAGGTCCAGGTGTCCTTAAGGTCTGAAATTGGTGGTAACTCCACATCTGCAAAAGGACAATGTAGATAAAAACACACAGGCTGTATTGGAAGATATCAACAAGGGAAAAATAGCTGCCTCAGCTCCCATCCTAAACTTCTGAACTGATACCATTCCAGTGCCTAACTTTACCTTCTTAACTGAAGAGGTGTTGCATCCCACGCAAGGCCCCCACTTCTCAGTCTGTCTTGACATTTGTGGGAACCTAATACAGCTGGAATAAATAGCTCAGATCTCTTTCCACATCAGGCACCCGAATATGTTGTTCAATTAGATGACTTTTCTGACTCCCTGCTGCTGCATGAATATCAGAAAATTTTTAATCATTGTTTGAAGTAATGGAGTCACCAGGCAGCACTGCCTGCTGCAGCATTTCTGCACTGTCTGTACAGAGGTAACTAGTAAAGCAGTCTTGGCATTGGAAAATTGAGAGATTCAAACAGATTAGAAAAGTAAATGTCTTAAAAAATTCTCATCCTGAGTTGCAGAGGAACGGCTTCTTCATTAGCACACACCTCCAAAAGCATAATTTATGAAGGTATTTTTGAAGAAATGAATCCCATCATAGAAATCGAGTAGGAGTTTTGAAGTAAATAGCTGCAGAAACAAACACCTTCTTATACACTAGCAAGATAAAATCTATCCTGTTAGGATTTGAAGCTTATTATTAATACTGAGCATGATCTCACCTACCTTTGAGTGGGATTAATCTCACATAACTGTTGACATTCAGAATGAAGATGTCTCATGCATGCTAATAATTGTAGATCCCTTAATAATCACCAGAGAGACCTCTCAGCATATTCCACCTCACTTACTTTGATGTTTACACCAAGACAACATTATTCCCTAAAAATGCTTGTTTACTTTCCCTTACTCTACAGACTTCCCACTCAGTTAATTCAGACATAGGTCACCAAATTTGCACAGCTAAGTTCAGTCTGCTTTGACCTTGGACATACTGCAAATTTTTTCATCTCAGAAAGGGAAAATTGAAAATTATGCTCACTTCTCCAGAAAAAGAAACCCAGAAACACATTTCTGTTTAATCTAAGATGCTGAGGTCAACACATGAAAAAAAACAAAGGCAGACAATTATTTTCTTTGATAAAGGAAGTCCCAAAAGGCAAATTCTGACAGGGGGTAGTTCCAAGTCAGTTTATGCAGGCCAGTCCACAGAGGGTTAATGCTCTGTGTGCACACAGGCTGCTGGTAGAGCAAAGCCACAGGCCTTCAGGGCTTGATACAGAGGGACCACTGGGACAGCTCTTCCAGCTCATGGTGCCAGTTCTTGTCATCACCTAAGTCTGAATCACTGCAAAATGAGGGATGTTGCTGCTCAGATCTGACTGCCAACACCTAATTTATTCTGCATTATTGAATAATCTATTTTTATCTTCTGCCCTTCATAAATTCTAAGCAGCAGTCTGCCTGTTCAAGAACACTATAGATTGACACTTAACGATACCATCAATGAAAGTTGAATAAAAATTTGAAATGGGATTATTAAAAAAAATAAATGTCTTAGAGCAATAATTTGTTTTCAAGAGTATGTTGTTATAGACTTTCTGGGGAACAGAGTGTTTGTATGTCTATGTATTGTGTGTAAACACAAACCCACCACAGTGAAAAAAACCAAACAAAAAGCATTGTTTTAGATATTCCACTGATTTACAGTTGACTCATATTTTCTTTATACCACTACTGTATAACCTGATCCTGAATTTTAAAGCATCCAGTTTGTTTAGTTTGAAGGATAGGAGGACATTTCCAGACTGAATGAAGCCCTTTCTAAGAAAACTTCAAATTTAACTGGTGAAAGAATTTCAGGACTCCTTGCTACTGTGGTAGAAGTAAACTTTGGATTTCTCACACAAACATTTTTGCCTTAAAAACTATTCCATAAAGAAGTTGTCAATATTTTTTTTCAAAAATCAGTACAAGTTATTTACAATTTAGTGAAGAGTATTAGTGTACTTGGTTGGTTCCCTGAAATGCAGAAGACATCACACTCTGTTCTGTAAAATTTGCACATGAAACCAGAATATATATGATGATGCCATTCAGAGGCACGGTACACAATGATTGAAGCTGGTGGCCCAGGGAAGAAAATAATTGTTCTTGAATACCTTAGGAAGATCCCTTTTTATAACTGACTTGGGTATGTAAGTTCATTGATTTCACTGAGACTTGAACACTGGTGGCAAGATTAATCTCAATTCATTCTGATCAGATCAGGTGCTTTTTCCAATAATCTTCAACATTCTTCACGCTGCATTCCCTAAGACTTTCTTGTGGCAGCCTCACCTGATAAAGCTACTTTAAGCCTTTCAGTAATAAGTTTTCTCTTGACTGACACTTTCTGAGACTCTTGGGAAAGTCTACAGATTTGCTGGTCAAGTCCTGTAGTTGTTTAGGCTCATAGTTCATCAAACTGTCCTAGAAAATATGTCTAGTATAGGGAGGAAGAAAGTGGCAACTAGAGGTTCCTATCTTTGCCCGGGAATTAAAGGTGGAACTCAGATCATATGCTAGAGGTATATTTTCAACTTTAACTTAATTTACCCATAGTTAACACGTGAAAGATTCCCACTCTGAGTGTTTCACAGTCACAAGGAAGTTTACTGACAACCATTCACCGTCAGGAATTCATGGGAGTGTTACACTTAATCTTGAAGCAATGCAAGGATCCTTCTCATCAATCTCTCAGAAGAATTAAATATGCAAACACATATATTTAATTCATGGTATTGATATACACACACATTCCCAAAAAACCAAATTTCAGTAATGTCAGTAGGACAAAATCTTGGAAGGAGCTTAATATTCCCATGGAAAATGAGCAACAAGTGTATATTGTTTTCCAAAGGTCACATATACCTGGTGATTTGTCTTAGAGATAGTCTGCAATGCTTTTGCATTCTCCTCCTCTTCACTGCCTTCTGAATAGGATTCAAACTCATCGTTATAATATTCTTCTGCAATTTCTGGGTCTTCAGGGATCTCTAAAGGCAATTATGAGTTTATAGCATTTAGACAGAAAAAATGTCCGATTTTAAAAAGATAAAATAGATTTTATAGCACTCATGTCACTAACAAAGCATTCTGTAATGAGATCAAGGGATAGGTTCACAGACTGAAATATTAATCTTTGATGACATGATAAACTGTGTTAAAGATGTCTCTGGCAAAAGGTCAGATTCTCATCACATGTAAATTAATGACCTTAAAAGAGCTATATTGATTCTGGGCTGAAATCACTAAACCATAGAATCCTCCAGGCTGGAAGGGACCTCATGGGATCATCTAGTCAAAGCAGGGTCTGCACTGAATTGGATCCTTTTTTGAGCTGAAATTATGTCCCAGTTTGGTTTTCTCTAACACACATAACCTGTGGTGAGTACAACTGCTCAGCCAAATTGGAAAATAATGTGCACCTGGCACATGTTGAAAAGATATGAGAAATAAAATCTATATCTTTTTCCAATCTTTCCAGAAGCAAAAGCTGAGCAAAATAAAAGAAACTAGTGTAAAGTCAAGTTACCCATATTTTAGTGTCATACTCTGAATTTACTACTACTACCAGGAGGTTTTAGTAATAGCAGTGAGTGCACTATTAATGTAGCAAATGAGCCTATGAAGTACAACAATTGTTATTAACACTCAACATATTCATCACAGCATGAAAGACACCTCAGCCTCTCTCCTCTGGGTGAAATACTTCAGCATTTTAAGTAAGGAGTTAATGAAATGGCTTGAGGCCGCATCACTCCTGCTTCATCGAGCTGTCCTTCCTCTGCAGAAGCACTTAAGCACATGTTGAATTTTAAAAGCAGAGGTTGGACTGTGGTGACTATTTTAATAAAAAGCAGAAATCCCACTTTTCTAGACAGAAAGCTGCAAGACAAAGAGTTGTCCCCAGGAGGCACGGCTCAGTGGCAAGGGACAGAAGCAGAAGGGAGCCTGGCTCATCAGCCATCCCATCAGTAGCCCTGAGCATTCACTGAGAGAAATACACCAGGAGACCTAACACTCATGCTTTCATTTTAGGCAGTCCCTTTATGACTTACTAAGATAAGTTACGTCCATGCCCAGGAACAACATTTTCGTGCTGACAGATTTCAGAAAGAAAATATTTGGTATCCATCTTTGCCTGGTATTATTGCAAGAAATGTTAGTTGAAGATAAAAAATGCCTAATATTCAGCTGTTGCAAATCACCACAGTCCTAACTTTAGCTAATTATGATTTCTACCACTCTTGCCAATTAAACCTGTCACTTTAAAGAAACATAAACCAACTTATCTTAAATATTACTGTATTGAAAGAAATTAAATTCAAACAATATGGCATAAAAATGCTTAACAGTTTGGTGGGGTTTTTTACTTGTTTCACATGGATTAAAAAATCAAAAGGATTTTTAAAGGGTGATACAATTAAAATCCACTAAAAGACAACAGAGTCTGGTGAGGAGGAATAATTCTAATCTTTCAGGCATAAAAAAGAGAACTCGAGAAAAAAGTGAAAAGGTATTTATCTCCAGCACTAGGTAGATGAACCTATTCTGTTGAGATACAATCTCTACTATCTACTGTCTCCAAAATATTTTTAAAATTATTTTCTTCTTTATAAATTTGATTTACTTCCAAAATGCTGACACATTTTCACTCAGATTTATCTGGTTTAAGACATTTAAGCAACCTTCATAACTTCACCATGCTCAACCGCCACAATTCCTAATCCTTCCTGTTTCTATTTTTCACCTTTCCTAGTGTGCAGGGGGGAAAAAAAATAAATTAAAAAAAAAACAAATTAAAAATCAGTAGGCTTCCAGGAGAGGAATCCCTCCCAGCCCAAAAACATTATTTAAAAAAATATATTAAAAAAAAAAAAAATCAAAACAGAAGATATCTTAAATAGCATTCCTTTTTACATGGGAAGAACACTCCAAAATGAAGATAGATCTCCCTCCTTTTCCAGACGGAGTGAACATTATTTTTTCTTTCTTGCAGGGAGGCTGTTATTCCCGTTATTAGTATAATTTTATTGGGTTCATCTGCATTCTATCTATGTGTATATATGCATTCAAGTACATATAAACCAGCCTGTTCATTACAATTGCAACATTAGACTGCACTAGTGCTTTCTGAGTCATCTTCTCCTCCCACATTTGGCATTTGTTTACTGTTGTATTAAAAAATGTTATCTTCCCAGCCAAACAAGATATCAAAATCAGTAATCTTCCTCATAACTGGAACTTCAAAATGTCTGCTCTGGCTACAGTAAAGCCCTGTACTTTGTGAGTAGTCCATGACCATCCAAAACTGCTGGTGCCTACAAACTATGTGTACGAGAGGCTGGCACTGGCTGTATCCTGCTTCCACACCAGCTTTTGCATCCTTGTCAGAATCATTTGCTTCACCATTTGTGAAATTGTTCTGACAGCTGTTCATGTACGGCCAGTTAATCCGAGTGCAGTAATACACTTTTAAATGTTTCTTCAGACTCTAGAGATATTCCAGGTTCACAAACTTACTGGCCCAAATTCAGAAACTATGCCAAGTGACATTTCTGCAAGAAGACAGCATATCAAGTGGATGGGAACTTGGGATTTAGCTAATACAAGTCCTTAAAGCTCCTTGGTTTTATGACTAGCATCTTTAAGAAGGCTCCTTCAAAACATCAACATATTCATTTAGACTATCTGGTTCCATATAACAGTTCCTTGAGTCCTACTAAGTAGAGCCAGCTCCCAGCCCTCTGCATGCTACAGATGCAAAGACACATCTTTGGTTCTCTGCAGAACTAATCTGAGTACAGAAAAGCTTGTTTAGTTGACAACCAGGATCAGCCAAATTTCAAGCTGGCTCTAGCACAGCAGATACCAGAAACCAACACGGAGAGCTGTACCCCTGTGTCCACACTGACCTAGCAAAGTTTGAAGTGCAGATAACTTAACTGAGCTGGTATTTTCAGCTCAGGGCAGGCACTGTCAGGGAAGGTTGGGCTCTATATACTTTCATTTTCATGCCTGCAGTCCATCCTCCAAAATATTTGGTACCTGAGTTTTCCCACCATCCTGGACATTTCATGCACACCCCCAATTTCTACTAACCATGTAGCAAAAGGCTGGTTACTGCCACCACCCCTGAACATTACTGGCGCAGCTGCGCACCTCAGCAATGTAGCACAGAAGAAAACTCCTTGATTCATTCTTTCAGGGGAGCAGTTTTAATAAAAATGTTGATCCTTGGCCTGGGTCTGTTTAACTTTTGTTTACATACCTTTGCAGAGCCTAGCATGGACTCTGAAGCCAGGACCTTGACCGTGTCATTTGTTCTGATATAAAATAGAAATTAAGTCTATTTGTGCCTGGAAGGTACTCTGGGAAAGGAGTTCTGGATGCTGTTGAGGTGGAAACAGGAAACAAAACTGCTGCTGCAGATCCCAGGGTACCCTGCCTCTTCATTTTGGCAGCTGGACTTGCAGAACAGCATCACATTTAAGAAGGCCTGACACCATCTGTAGCTCATCAGACCCCGTTGCTCACACAACACTCCTGGCTTGCCTGAGTACAGAGTCCAGATAACCCCATTCCCTGCCTGTGACAAAGCCACCCTGTGCAGCACACACGTGGTAGGCAGGGACTCTGCTTTCCTTGCAGACCCTTAAAAAAGAAAGGTAATGGTAAGATCCAAAAGAAAGTTTCCTAATCCTGTGCCATCTGGTGAAACGTGCAACACTGATGGCTGCCACACTGCTGTAGAACTCTTGGTCTTCAGATGCCTGCCCTCCCTCTGATACAGCATCCTTACATGGTCCACATGGAGCACAAAGGAAGGTCTCTACAGCTGCTTCTGCCACCTCACAGCCCACCATCTCTCAGCTGATCTCTGGAAATACACTGTGTTTCATCTAGCTGTGCATATTGAACTAAGGCTAGTTATGGTACCTTTCCTTGTCTACAAAGCCCTTAACTCAGAACAAACTCAGCTATTGCTTCCACCTGGCTAGGCTGCTTAGGAATATCATTAATACACTTGATATTTGCCATTAGATATTCAAAAGAAAATGTGCTCTGAGTAATAACATTCCTCTTCTGACTTCTTTCTCTATAGCAATATGATGCTAATAGTGAAAGGAAGGGTAAAAACCCATTATCTAAAAATATCATAAAAGCACAGTTATTTCCCAAGAAGACGAGCTATGCAGAAAACAAAGGAATGCTATACTTGTAATATTTTGCTTAAATCCACCAAGAGCTTGTTTCAGGTAGCATGGTAACTTGGCAACAACAACTATTTTCTCCAAAGAGATGAAAATACTTTGATAAATAATTTTAATTTTCTCTTGCCTTGAAGTCAGACTTATAATTGGTTCATTGATGCAGCATTCTCAGAAGACAGTAAGAACCCTTTTATTTAGAAAAGAGAGAAGAAAAAAGAAAACAGAACAGTATAACATATGTTCAGTTTCACCACTTGCATTTGCAGTAACGAAGTCACACTAAGCTCTTGAAGATTATTGTATTGCTTTTATTCCCAAGGCTTCAACACATCTCTGGAAAAAAAAAAAAAAGGCAGATTTTCCCAGGTGTCACTTCCCCATCATAAGGAAAAGAGTTGTTACTGTTCCACATAGCAACACTCCTCGGTCTGTGCAGTCCTACAGACAGCAAAGTGAGGAGGAAAGCATTTGACTGTTCTGACAAGCATGGACTGTCATGAGATATAAAGCCCTCTTAGTGCTACGGTGACATGAACCAATGAAACCAGCCTTGAAAAGTGTTGCTGCACCATGGCTGTTACAGGCAACTGCACCTCTGCTACAGCTCAAAAAACTAAGAGAGGGAGCCAGAACACAGGCATTTTCACTGCCCCTCTTGCAAGACTTTGTACGTGAGCCATGCTGGACACTGAGGCAAGAGCAGAGAAAAGCATTCCTCCTCCTGCTTCTGCACTGCACTGGGCTGCCAGACAGCCCAGCAGCAGGACCTCACCAATAAC